TCCTAGAGGTCAGCCCGGAGACCAAGAGGACTCGTTATGAATCCTAGAGGTCAGCCCGGAGACCAAGAGGACTCGTTATGAGCCCTAGAGGTCAGCCAGGACACCAAGTGGACTCGCTAGAAAGCAGCAGAAGCAGGCCAGGAGACCAACAGGACTCGTTATGAACCCTAGAGGTCAGCCAGGACACCAAGTGGACTCGCTAGAAAGCAGCAGAAGCAGGCCAGGAGACCAACAGGACTCGTTATGAACCCTAGAGGTCAGCCCGGAGACCAGATGGACTCGCTAGAAAGCAGCAGAAGCAGGCCAGGAGACCAACAGGACTCGTTATGAACCCTAGAGGTCAACCCAGGGACCAACAGGACTCGTTATGAGCCCTAGAGGTCAGACCGAAGACCAAGAGGACTCGCTACAAAGCAGCGGAAGCAGGACGGGAAACCAACAGGACTCGTTATGAACCCTAGAGCTCAGCCTGGAGACCAAATGGACTCGCTAGAAAGCAGCAGAAGCAGGCTGGGAGACCAACAGTATTCCTTATGAACCCTAGAGGTCAGCCCGGAGGACCAAGAGGATTCTCTATGAACCCCTGTAAGTTCACTTTTTTATTTAGAAGTACCATCTTTCAACCCAGTACCTTAGTGTGCCTGTTTTATACATTTTCAGAAGTGTATTGCAGATGCCTCCGATCACACGTCTGACTGGATGTGGGTTCTTCTGTGGCTCTTCTGTAACCGACTGGCTGTCTTTGTCGGTTTCCTCATGAGATGGCTCCTGGTTTTCTTGTTCCACTAATTCCCTGAACCTTTTGTTCAGCTGTTCCACTTCAAGCTCTAAGGTAGTGTTTTTCCTCTCCAGGGCGACGTTTTCCTCCTTCAGCGTGGTGTTTTCTCTCTCCAAGACAGTGGTTTTCTTATACAGAGCCTTTCTTTCCTGCCTTAGGTTGGAGTCTTTCTGGGCATAAACTTTTTTTTCCCCCTCCAAGATGAAGTTTTCCCGCTGCAGGGCAGTGTTTTTCTCCTCCAGGGCGGTGTTTTCCTCCTTCAGGGTGGTGTTTTCCTCCTTCAGCGCGGCGTTTTCTTTCTCCAAGTCAGTGTCTGTCTTATCCAGAAGAATCCTCCTTTCATGCCTCAGGTCGGAGACTTCCTCAGCATAAACTTTGTTTTCCCCCTCCAAAATGATGTTCACCTGCTTGTAGACAGAGTTTTTCTCCTCCAGGGCGGTGTTTTCCTCCTTCAGGGCGGTGTTTTCCTCCTTGAGTGCGGTGTTTTCCTCTTTCAGCGTGGTGTTTTCTTTCTCCAATATTGTGGTTTTCTTATCTAGACGAATCCTCCTTTCATGCCTCAGGTCGGAGACTTCCTCGGCATAAACTTTGTTTTCCCCCTCCAAGATGAAGTTCACCTGCTTGTAGACAGAGTTTTTCTCCTCCAGGGCGGTGTTTTCTTCCTTCAGGGCGGTGTTTTCCTCCTTCAGCGCGGTGTTTTCCTCCTTCAGCGTGGCATTTTCTTTCTCCAATACTGTGGTTTTCTTATCCAGACGAATCCTCCTTTCATGCCTCAGGTCGGAGACTTCCTCGGCATAAACTTTGTTTTCCCCCTCCAAGATGACGTTTACCTGCTCGTAGACAGAGTTTTCTTTCTTCAGGGCGGTGTTTTCCTCCTTCAGGGCGGTGTTTTCCTCCTTCAGGGCGGTGTTTTCCTCCTCCAGGCCGGTGTTTTTCTCCTCCCGAGTGTTGTTTTTTGCCGTCAGGTTGATGTTCTCCTGCTCCAGAGCCCTTAATTTCTGCTTCAGGGCAATGATTTCCTGGTCATAGTCCCTGTTTTTCTTGACCATGGCAGTGTTTATCTTCTCCAGTCTGGCGTAATCCTCTTCTAAAGTTATGTTCATATCAACCAGCTTTGTAAATTCTTCATCCTTCTCCCGAACAAGCTGGTCTTTTTCAAATGCTGCTTGTTCTAATGTCATAACTTCAATTTTTAACTCCTCATTTGCTTTAATGAGTGCCTGACTCTCAAAGGACATCCTGCCGAGTTCTTCCAAGATTTCGTGGAGCTTCTGTCTCTCTCTTGCTAATATCCGTAGTACTCTTTCTTCCTCGGAATCAGAAGTCGAAGTCTTACTACTCTCACTCATCTTTGGTACTTTATGTCTGGAAAAATCGTTTTTAAGATCTTGTTGGGATACAATCCTTCTTCTTGCTCTCTAGCTTCTGCAATGGTTATGATGGTAGAATTCAAGAGTGCAGCTTTTTGTGCATCACTCTTTGTGACATCAAATTGCGTGATGTCACAAATTGATGTCACTGAGCAGAACAACTAGAAAACTGCTGAAGTTTGAATAAAAATAAACTTTACGGCTGAATGCAGCTTGGTTAAGCTGATGGCCATTGGAGACAGTTCAGCTGGTAAAATATCACCAAAGCTGAAATCCACACATGGGAGACAGTGGCTCTTGAGGACAATGGACTGGCACAGCAGGGTGCCAGGACCAATGGTTAAAAGAAAAGTTTGTGCCCAAAAACAGAAAAAGGGGAAACAGGCGAGCATGTTACCCAACTGGTGCCTAGGAAGCCACCAATTCTGACTCTCTTTCTGGCTAATGTCCGCTCACTGGATAAGATAGTGGATTTGTTACATCTGAGCCTGAGAGTTTCTGCAGAGATTGACTGTGCCATTCTTTGCCTAACGTAAACCTGGCTTAACAGCAACATGCCGTTGAGCCTTCCAGATCAACAGTATTCAGTTATTCCAAGCGGACCGCGACCAACACTCAGAAAAAACAATGTATGTCAGAAGGAGCAGGACAATGTATGTAAGTGAATGCAGATTGGTGTGCGAACTGTGGACTGGTTAACAGCTGTCAGTAGGGCTGCTGTAAACGAATATTTTAGTAATCGAGTAATCTATCGATTATTCTTACGATTAATCGAGTAATCGGATAAAAAAAATTCTAAAATGAAATA